TAGCTTAAGTTGACGCCTATGTTTCTATATGAATTATTAATATATATACCTTGTGAAGGGAAAATCCTATCATCTGTGCTCATATTCAATATAATGAACATGTACATATTGAATATGATAAACCTCAAATAGAGAGTAACATTAAAACTCGAAAGAATAAGTGTTTAAATTTCAATTGCGATACTATAAACTGATTACCAGAAATTCGTGCCACATGTTAATTGTGATCAGTGATAATTAGGGCTGATACAAGAGAACCTAACTAAAATGATGAAATAGGAAATCAGAGTACGGTTGTGAGGTAGCATAGTAGCATTCCAAAAGTCACGACTAGAAGTATTAACGCAACACCATAATTGGTCGTAATTATAATGAATTACGGCAAAAATGCTGTAATTTATTATAATTACGACCAAATACGACATTGCGTCAACATGACTATCACAGAAAACAAAACCGCTAACAAACTATATTCGCGCACGCCTTGAGTAATTATCCCATGTAATTATCACCTTAAAGTAGTTCTGTCTCCACATTTGGTGCTGTGCTTCTAAAAGCCAAAAACCTTCTCATGTTTAAAATTGTTATGTATAAACATAGTCAGCCTCAGTATCGTATAACACCTAATTCTATAAATAAATATATTACCCTTGAGGGCTTACCAAATCTTATTTCATGTAATTCCAAGTTGAGGTTAGAACTAAGTGGCATATGAACGTATATTGATCTCTTGACCAACTATAAATGTGAAACATGCTAATCTAGAAGGCTTCCGCCTTATTGTTTGTGCAATTTATAGTATAAAAAAAAAGGTTAAAGAAATAAAAAAAAAAAAAAAAACTAGTTATCAAAATGCACTTTATTACAAATTTAGTGCGAGAGAAAATTTTTAATAACCTTTATATAGTCACTAAATATTTGTATTTACTATTAAAGTGACTATATGGAGGTTTTTTAATATAGTCACACCTTTTTATAGTCACCTAAATTTTGTTTCCCGAACAGGGACTATAACGAGGTCTGACTGTATTTGTATAATAGTTGTGAGGCTTGAGAGTAAAAAATATCAAAGGAGTTTAGAGATTGATTTAAGGGTTTTGAATTGAGGCCTTTAAGTGTGGATTAGAGTAAATAAGAGTATAAAGTAAAAGATAAGGGGTTAAAGAAAGGATGAAGGAAATTGTGTATATTAAGTTGTTAAGTTGATATAAAATAAAATTGAGGCTAGTATTAGAAATAATCTCATAAATAGAAGTATTGATATTTTGAATTAGAAGAGTATTATTAGAACATGTATACCAGTAGGAAGGAGTATCTAGACTATTACAGAAAAAGCAGTTAGAAGATATAAATATAGAAAGATATATAGAATGAAAATAAAAATTAGTTGGTAAAATATTGAGAAGTAATTTAATTTTAAGGATTTTAAGTAATTTAATTTGAAATTGGTAAAATTATATAAAATTTTATAGTTATTGTGGTAGTATAGCCAGGAGGCTTGCCAGTTAATTAAGTAAAAAAAGTATAATCATTCTTGAGCATACTGTTATGAAGACCATAAGGCAATAGTATATGCTTTGCAGATTGTTTTAATAAAGTATCTAGTAGAGCTTTTGACATAGATATTATTTCAGAATAGAGTAAGGTATAGATAGTAGAGATTTGTAATTAAATTGTAGAATAGGTGAGGTAGAATGGTTATTTACAAGCAGGTTAGCAAAGTTGTTAAAGAGATTATTTGAGTGAGCTTGAACTTTATAAAAAATAAGCTGAATATTAAAGGATTTTAATAAGTTAAAAAGTGTGTACAGATAGGCCAAGCATTGAATTTAAAGAGTTTAGAAGAGTAAAATAAAAGAGATTAAAGTTTGTTAAATTTAGAAATGATAGATTGTGAGTCAGTAAAGATTTTGACAAATTGTGAGAAAGTATAGATATAGCAGATATGATTGCAATTAGTTCAGCTTTATAGGAAAAAGGCCAATTGGAGATTTGATCAAAAAAGCTTTGGATAATACAACTACCCAGCCAATACTTATAAAGCAATAGTTAGTACCAATTTGTTTTACAGAGCTATCTGTGTAAAAGATAAACTGATGTTGAGAAAAATTAGAAAGTGCAATGTGAGATAGTTTTTTAGAAGCTTCACTTTTATAAAAAATGTTTGAAATTATTGTGTTAATAATATTGCTAGTTGGCAGAGGTGGTATATGTGAAGTATGTTTAATATCTGTAGGGTAAATAATGTTGATATAATCAGCATTGAGGTTAAGTTGCTTGTTAGCTTTCTTTTTTCCAAGAAAATGGGTAGAAAGAATAGTTAATACTTCTAAAATGCAACAACTAGTTATACAATGGGAGTTAAAATTGTAATCCTGGCAAGAAATGCAAGAAATTGGGATAAAATATAGTAGTATGGAGTAGAAGTATTGATATTATGTTGCCAATGTGTTATAGAAATTTTATTAGATTGAGAGAAGGTTTTACAGACTTGACTGATAATCATGTTGTTAAAATAGATTAATATCCAAGACTTGCTAGTTTTGGAAAATAGGTTAGTTTGATATACAAATAGGTTAATACTAGTAAATTAAAGATGAAAAGTAATAGTATGATAAATATTATTATTAAAAATAGAATTTTCAAGATAAGTAAACCAGAGTAGTTTTTTTCTTTTAGGAATATGTAAAAGTCAAGAAAAAATATATGACCAGTCTAGAAGAGTGTTGTTGTCTGCAGAACAAAGTTCTTCAAGATAGAGGATATTTTTATGACAAAATTGTTGTTTAAAAGTATTGTACTTGGGGTGATTAAATAAAATATTTTCAAGAGGTGTGTTGCTATCATTTATAATTTTAAGCTATGAGAAATTAGAGTATAAATATATAGAGATTTAATAATAGTTTAGTAGTTGTATAATTTTAAAGACAGTGAAGTGTTTATTTGAGCTATTAATAATTAGATGCGAATATAAAAATATATTAGTAGTAGACCATAGGTTATTTTGAAATTGCTAAAGTTGGATATGAGTAGTAGTGCCAAGTATTGAGCTATTGTTGACTCAATTTAAAAAGTTGCTAATGTGAAATTGTAGTTGAATATTCTAAATACAGTAGATATTATAAAGATTGTAATTAAGAAGAGTACTATTGGGGTAGAACAAGAGAGATGAGATTTGTATTTGGCTATTATAAGTTATTTGCTAAGAATTTGGTTGCATGTAGAAAAAGAAATTACAATATTATAGATACAGTATTTAATAGTAGAGATAATTACTATATTAATAATATAAATAATTTGTTTGTCTGTAATCTTTTTGGTGCTAGCAATTTTGGCTAAATTAATAGCTTCTTTTTGAATGAGCATAATTTGAGAGGTTTGCTTATTATTAAGTATAAACCAACAGTCTAAAAATATGAATAGTTGGTAAAGAGGAATAGATTAAAAACTAGAGTTAAGAAATGAGATATTAGAGTTGTAATAAAAACAAATTTGTTAGAATTGACTTGGATATCAGCTATGGAGTAGAAGGTAAAAGCAATGTTGGTAATTTCTTTGAGTTGTGTCTTGGATTGAGCAATCTATAGTGTGTTATTTATATAAGCAAGAACAGAGATAAAGGTGTTAAGGTAATTGGAAGAAGTATGTATAAGACTAGTTTCCTATAAGGTAGTGCTCCTATGTTCGGTTTGGGTTTGGTCCGGTTCAGATCCAATCCGGGATCGAACTGAACTCGAACTCTAAATTTTGCTAGTTTCAAACTTCGAACCAGACTCAAACTCAGTTAAGAGTTCGGTTCGGTTCGGTTCGAAGTTTGTCAAACTAGTTCGAAGTTTAAATATTTATATTTGTATTTTTTTGTGCTGAACAAGTTTACTTAGTACATGAAGTTAGAATTGATTAGTAAACTTTC